CACTTCTCTTTTGAAAGTAATAGCAAAGACATGGGTAATTATGTGTGATTTTATGGTGTGTTTTGCATATCAATGTACATCTGCCTCTAAATAGGGGAACTGTGTGTGTGTGTGTGTGAGAGAGAGAGAGAGAGGGTGAAGCTGTCAGCATGATGTGAAAGAGTGCAATGCAAAATAAAAGTGAGTAATTTAACAAGCAACTAAGCTTTACTATTTTAGAACTTGCTTATTTAATTCGGTGAGACATAAACCACCCTTAGCTATTGAAAATGGAGGCTGAAGATCTGATGCATGAAGGGAAAAAGCTGTTCTATATTGTGTTGGTGTAGATTGAGTTCGAATTGTTTGTACCCAAGAACAGAAATACATGCAGCCTCTTAATGTTAAAACAGAAAATTTCTGGTAGCAAATGTTAGTGTGAACGTAATATCTGTTATGCGTGTGTTACCATCTTTTGGGATTTGTACACAGTAGGGGGCGCCATTTGTTTTATTTCTAATCGTTTTAATGTACATCATTAAGAAATGCAAATTTGCTAAAAGCCTTGTGAATTTTTTTTATAAGTCTTAACCTTTGATTTGTATTAAAATCTGATTTAATGCATGCAGCACTATTAATAGGAAACATGCATATCTATTAATTAACACGTTCCTACAAGTGCCCTAAGTAATCCATCAGTTTGTACCGTTTTAGCAAAATTGTGAAGCCGCCTTAAAGGGTTAGTTCACCCAAAAATGAAAATTAGCCCATAAATTACTCACCCTCAAGGCATCCTAGGTGTATATGACTTTCTTCTTTCAGACGAATCCAGTCGGAATTATATTAAAAATGGTCTTTGATCTTTCAAGCTGTTTCATGGCACTCAGCGGGTGTTGCATGCATCAGTACACGTTACACAAAACTGAAATTGCACGTCAAAATAACACATTGTCAATATTTTTTGAGACCCCACCCCAAATTTCACAAATCCCGTTTTCAGGGGAGCCCATGTCTTATTAAGGGGAGCCGAGCTCCCCCTAGCTCCCCCGTAGTTCGCACCCTGCCCAGGATGCCTTGTGGGTGAGTAATTTATGGGCTAATTTTCATTTTTGGGTGAACTAACCCTTTAAGGAAAATAGTGTTCCAGTGAACGACTTATTCTCGTGCACTTAAATGCAGTGACTATTTTTCGCTTATGAATATGTAAAAATGACTGATGATAATACACAATGTACCAGGGGCGTAGATTATGCGGGGGACGCGGGGGACGTGTCCCCCCACTTTTAATATCACGTAAATTCGTCCCCCGCACTTTTTCGGGCAAGTGTGTTCGCATAGAGGTTTTCAAGAGCCGGTGTATATAAATATAGATTTAAATTCAAAGAGACAGTATAGTCTGTGCATGATCTGATGTTTTATTCGGACCCAGATTAAGGCGAGATGAACATCACGGAGCGCTAAACACTCCGTGCAGTGTGTGTTTCATTCATACTCGAAGCCGGAGGGCGCTCTCGCGCAGAAAGTCGTGCGAGGAAATATGTTATATTAATATATATATATATATAACATTTCTGTCACCCTCACTTCTGAAATGATGGCTACGCCCCTGGTACACACGCATTTTAAGACTTTCTGTCGTGAATTAGGCCTACTGTTATGAGTGAATTATCGATTCACTCATAACACGCCACCTACTGGCGTAAATGTCTGATGACCATACACAATGTAGAAACGAATTTTAATACAATATAATAGAAGTTGTTTCGGTCGTTTTTTGTGTGTGTATTGAATTGTTTTCTCGTTATCTCATGTAAGGGTTCACTCACTGGACGAATTCAAAAGATTCGAATCACTGGGATGAATCAATATCCCCACCCTGTTCATGCAGGGGCCGATTCGGTACCAAATAAGGACATGAGCTCGAAATACAATATAATAGAAGTTGTTTCGGTCGTGAATGCGCACAGTGTTTTTTTTGTTGTTTTTTTTGTATTGAATTGTTTACTCGTTATCTCATGTAAGGGTTCACTCACTGGACGAATTCAAAAGATTCGAATCACTGGGATGAATCAATATCCCCACCCTGTTCATGCAGGGGCCGATTCGGTACCAAATAAGGACATGAGCTCGGCCGCTTGAAGTGACGTCAGTGAAATGGTGGATTAAGGAGTCTTTCGCTCAGAAGCGGGAGCAGAGGTACAGGGAGTATGGAGTGTGCTGAAATTGAGAATTAACTATAGTGTAGAGCGTAATCTCGTTACATAAACCTGTTCATTCGCGTTAATCCGTTTCTCCACACAGCGAAAACACTTGTGGCGTTCGTCAGAACGAGGAAATTTAGATACATTTCTATTTTGTCAAGATGAGGAAAACTACCTTAATTTTATTGAGCCACTAGAATAAATTAATCTTCCTTATAGTGTATATGCTTCTGTCCTTGTATCTATGTCCAACAGTGTGGTGGTGGTGGTGACGACGCGGTTTCCACCACAACGCCAAGGAAAAGAAAGAGAGGAATCAAGGCGACAGAGCACCAGACTCAGCCTACTTGGTTTTCCAAGCCGAAGCTGAAGAATTCTTTCCAAAAACATCCACGCGCCTCTGCAGACATGGAGGCGGCGAGTTTGGCACACGGGGTCGCGAGCCCGGTAAGCCAGCGCGAGGGCATGACCAAGAACGTGAGCCTGGAGTCGCTCCAGCTGTGCGAGAGAGACGGTAAGAAACACACAGTGAGTGACCGTAAACTTGACAGTATTATCTACGCCTGTTTTCCCCGATTAACAAACCTTTTTAAGGGACCTTGTTTATTTTGAAATGTATTGAGCGCTTAAAGACTGTAGTAATACGGGGTTATACATTGCTGCAGAAAAAAATCGCCTGTCACATCCATGAAAAGCGGAATAGTGAGACATGGCAGGCTGCCTTTGTGTGTGCTGGCTGTGGTATCTGATCTCTGCTGTCTGTGTGAGGCTTTCGTTTCAGCACCATGGACACTACCCTCTTGCAGTCAGCTATCTTTTCTCTTGCAATCTCCTTTAATCATCATGCGGCCAGTCAAGCTGAAACCAAGAAACTGGTATTGTAAACCAGTAGAGAAAATAATATATCAAAATAAAATAATCATAATAATCTCAGGTGCCCTAAAGCACTTAAGGATGCTGATGTAGGGGGGATGTGGCTTTTTGACAGTGAGAGAGCTTCTATATATGTATTTATGTTCATTTTTGTATTATTTGTATATTTTATATACATATATCATGCAATATATAAAAATAATTGTAAAATATATTAATATCTTCTAAATGTAACTCATAACATACTTATAGTTTGCAATATATTTGTTTTCCGATATGTTGTTTCGGATCTATAAATATATATTTAGTCTTGTTAATACTTCATATACATAATATTCATATGCATAATTCATATACATAATGCAATATTATATATATATATAGCATATATGTATATGCTACTTTTTATATTTTATATATATATATTATGTAATACATACATAATTGTAAAAATATTAGTATATACAAACCATATCTGATAATATAAGATACTTATATTAATACAAAATGTTTTGTATAAATAAATGTATATTTACAATTTGTTCTTACTTATTAAATAATGGATAAACACATTTACTGAATCACTAAACTTATTTAGCTGTTTACAAGGAGCATCAGACATTTTTAACAGCTTCATGTTCATGGCAGAAGGTGAAGTCAGGTGCTTGTGCACACACACTGAGCAGGACCCACCTGCTGTGGCTTTTAAAGGTATACAGGCTTGATGTAGAGGCTTACATGAGGATACAGTATTTGCCTTTCACCTGATCCCTGTTTCCATCTATTTTGTTTGAGTGGAATTGCAAGCCTATAAATGCAAATCCATTTAACTGAAGGAATCACCTTTGTCTTTTAATAAGCATTACAACCATCAGTGTTTCGATAGTGAGCATGTGTTTGAAAAAATGTCAAAATGTGTCATCCTCTTTAAGAATGACTGAAGCAACAAACTGCAAATATGCAATTTGGCAGGCTTCAGAAGAATGCAGCGTTCCTCTAAGGCTAGCACAATGACTCACCAGGTTTTATCTTCCCTCCCTACATGAATGTATTTGAATCAGCATTAATTAGCCTGAATAGATTGCTGTGCTGGCAGCACAGTGCTTCTTATCTCTTTGAGTTACCACATTTACACATCAGCGCTCGTTTCATTTTGTTTAATTGCAACAAACTGAGGGAGTGCATAATGCACTGTTTTTGAGGTACTAATTGAACTCTCTAATTAGTTGGCATGAGTGTGTTTCTAAGACATGAAGGAAAACATTCTCATTAAACATGGACCAGACTTCTCATCTGTTCAGCTGTCCTAACCATACACAGCTGTATCTGATTTTAAACACCCTTATTTAAGATCTTTACAAGATGATGTTTTGGATATTTTTATCTAAAAACTGCTCTAAAAGAAGATTTTAGTTAACTTGTGCATTCACATGATGATTGAAACTGCTAGGATTGGCTAATTCTAACTCATCAGCTGAGTGCTGGTGTAAATATCTAAATCAGATCTCGAGATACAATATAATAGAAGTTGTTTCGGTCGTGAATGCGCACAGTGTTTTTTTTGTTGTTTTTTTTGTATTGAATTGTTTACTCGTTATCTCATGTAAGGGTTCACTCACTGGACGAATTCAAAAGATTCGAATCACTGGGATGAATCAATATCCCCACCCTGTTCATGCAGGGGCCGATTCGGTACCAAATAAGGACATGAGCTCGAAATACAATATAATAGAAGTTGTTTCGGTCGTGAATGCGCACAGTGTTTTTTTTGTTGTTTTTTTTGTATTGAATTGTTTACTCGTTATCTCATGTAAGGGTTCACTCACTGGACGAATTCAAAAGATTCGAATCACTGGGATGAATCAATATCCCCACCCTGTTCATGCAGGGGCCGATTCGGTACCAAATAAGGACATGAGCTCGGCCGCTTGAAGTGACGTCAGTGAAATGGTGGATTAAGGAGTCTTTCGCTCAGAAGCGGGAGCAGAGGTACAGGGAGTATGGAGTGTGCTGAAATTGAGAATTAACTATAGTGTAGAGCGTAATCTCGTTACATAAACCTGTTCATTCGCGTTAATCCGTTTCTCCACACAGCGAAAACACTTGTGGCGTTCGTCAGAACGAGGAAATTTAGATACATTTCTATTTTGTCAAGATGAGGAAAACTACCTTAATTTTATTGAGCCACTAGAATAAAATAATCTTCCTTATAGTGTATATGCTTCTGTCCTTGTATCTATGTCCAACAGTGTGGTGGTGGTGGTGACGACGCGGTTTCCACCACAACGCCAAGGAAAAGAAAGAGAGGAATCAAGGCGACAGAGCACCAGACTCAGCCTACTTGGTTTTCCAAGCCGAAGCTGAAGAATTCTTTCCAAAAACATCCACGCGCCTCTGCAGACATGGAGGCGGCGAGTTTGGCACACGGGGTCGCGAGCCCGGTAAGCCAGCGCGAGGGCATGACCAAGAACGTGAGCCTGGAGTCGCTCCAGCTGTGCGAGAGAGACGGTAAGAAACACACAGTGAGTGACCGTAAACTTGACAGTATTATCTACGCCTGTTTTCCCCGATTAACAAACCTTTTTAAGGGACCTTGTTTATTTTGAAATGTATTGAGCGCTTAAAGACTGTAGTAATACGGGGTTATACATTGCTGCAGAAAAAAATCGCCTGTCACATCCATGAAAAGCGGAATAGTGAGACATGGCAGGCTGCCTTTGTGTGTGCTGGCTGTGGTATCTGATCTCTGCTGTCTGTGTGAGGCTTTCGTTTCAGCACCATGGACACTACCCTCTTGCAGTCAGCTATCTTTTCTCTTGCAATCTCCTTTAATCATCATGCGGCCAGTCAAGCTGAAACCAAGAAACTGGTATTGTAAACCAGTAGAGAAAATAATATATCAAAATAAAATAATCATAATAATCTCAGGTGCCCTAAAGCACTTAAGGATGCTGATGTAGGGGGGATGTGGCTTTTTGACAGTGAGAGAGCTTCTATATATGTATTTATGTTCATTTTTGTATTATTTGTATATTTTATATACATATATCATGCAATATATAAAAATAATTGTAAAATATATTAATATCTTCTAAATGTAACTCATAACATACTTATAGTTTGCAATATATTTGTTTTCCGATATGTTGTTTCGGATCTATAAATATATATTTAGTCTTGTTAATACTTCATATACATAATATTCATATGCATAATTCATATACATAATGCAATATTATATATATATATAGCATATATGTATATGCTACTTTTTATATTTTATATATATATATTATGTAATACATACATAATTGTAAAAATATTAGTATATACAAACCATATCTGATAATATAAGATACTTATATTAATACAAAATGTTTTGTATAAATAAATGTATATTTACAATTTGTTCTTACTTATTAAATAATGGATAAACACATTTACTGAATCACTAAACTTATTTAGCTGTTTACAAGGAGCATCAGACATTTTTAACAGCTTCATGTTCATGGCAGAAGGTGAAGTCAGGTGCTTGTGCACACACACTGAGCAGGACCCACCTGCTGTGGCTTTTAAAGGTATACAGGCTTGATGTAGAGGCTTACATGAGGATACAGTATTTGCCTTTCACCTGATCCCTGTTTCCATCTATTTTGTTTGAGTGGAATTGCAAGCCTATAAATGCAAATCCATTTAACTGAAGGAATCACCTTTGTCTTTTAATAAGCATTACAACCATCAGTGTTTCGATAGTGAGCATGTGTTTGAAAAAATGTCAAAATGTGTCATCCTCTTTAAGAATGACTGAAGCAACAAACTGCAAATATGCAATTTGGCAGGCTTCAGAAGAATGCAGCGTTCCTCTAAGGCTAGCACAATGACTCACCAGGTTTTATCTTCCCTCCCTACATGAATGTATTTGAATCAGCATTAATTAGCCTGAATAGATTGCTGTGCTGGCAGCACAGTGCTTCTTATCTCTTTGAGTTACCACATTTACACATCAGCGCTCGTTTCATTTTGTTTAATTGCAACAAACTGAGGGAGTGCATAATGCACTGTTTTTGAGGTACTAATTGAACTCTCTAATTAGTTGGCATGAGTGTGTTTCTAAGACATGAAGGAAAACATTCTCATTAAACATGGACCAGACTTCTCATCTGTTCAGCTGTCCTAACCATACACAGCTGTATCTGATTTTAAACACCCTTATTTAAGATCTTTACAAGATGATGTTTTGGATATTTTTATCTAAAAACTGCTCTAAAAGAAGATTTTAGTTAACTTGTGCATTCACATGATGATTGAAACTGCTAGGATTGGCTAATTCTAACTCATCAGCTGAGTGCTGGTGTAAATATCTAAATCAGATTAGCTAGAAACCTGAATCTGTTCCATGCAGGATGTTGAGCAACCCTGGGAATTCCTGACTGCAGCTGGTAACACATGAACAAATACATTTAGAGAAATGTTGCACAAATAACATAAACGGTTTAAGATGTTGAAGTGAGCCTATCTTGTCATCATAACTGGCATCATAATTTGTAATAAAGAATAAATTAGCCTGGGACTAAACTTAAAAATATGAATTCACTGCCATGCACAGCTTGTTGTTATGCAAATGACAAATGTGTGTATTAATATGCAATTCTGTGTGCATTTTGGAGTGGGTCCAGAGCTCATTAAACAAACTCTAAACCCTGCTAAACTAGCATTCTGCCACAATACAGAGACGTTTGCAGCTTGAACCTGCAATCTCGCTCTGTGTTGAAGCTCATACAGGAGAAAAGCATTGTTTTCATGCACAGGGACCAATACTATTTTGTAGTCACATGCAGTGCTGTTTGCCCACATAAAGACCTCACTGTAGTTTTGGATTTGTGAGTGTGTGGTATTTCGTATGTTAGATGTGCCATCTATACAGTCTGGACATTTCTGTTTTGCTTTGTTATGTAATACTGCAGTTTTATGAGAAAGCTGCTCACACAAGCTGCTCCCCTGATGGATATTCGTGGTTGTTTAGGTGTTTGTGAAGGAGATATTTAAAATGGGGTTTGGTGATAGATTTATTTGAAATGTCTGATGTTTCAGTACTGTAGGTTCTTCTGTGTGTGCATGCCTTTAAATAGACAGTGGTCCCGCAGGAGGCTTTTAGCCATTATTAGAGTCGATATAGAACCAGACGCTCCACGCTTTTCCTCCCTCGTCTCATACTCTCCCATGATTCAGCAGGTAGTTCTCTGTCTGTGCTCTCCAACGTGTTTTGAGTCTCACATTGTTGTCTATATATACACTTCAATCTGTCTATATATTCATATATTGTCTATATATTCAACTTCAATCAGTTTGTGGTTGATTGATGTGTCTGCATTTATTTGATCAAAATACAGTAAAAACACTAATATTGTGAATTATTGCAATATAAAATAACTGTTTTCTATTTTAATATATTGTATAAATGTATTTTATTCCTTCAGAAATCATTCTAATATGCTGATGTGGTGTTCAAGAAAGATTTCTTATTATCACAGTTGTGCTGCTTAATATTTTTGTGGAAACTGTGTGAAAACATGAACAAGAAACACAACCCAAAACACCACATTACAGATACATTATTTCCAGGGTACTTTGATAATTAGAAAGTCTTTACTGTCACTTTTGATCAATTTAATGTGTTGTTGCTGAAACAGTATTAAGCTCGTTTAAAAGAAAAAAAATATTTTCAACAGTAGTGCATGATGTATAAAAGGTTTTATCAGCTGTCTATCAGCTTTTCTGAGAAATAAAGACAATGAAAATAATTTCTGTTCCAGCAGCTCTGACTTTTGTTTACGATCTTAAAACGTTAAGTGCTGATCACTTTGTATGCAAAGGTTCTGCCCATCTTCCTCTTTAAATTATGCTACATTGATTAATGGCCTTGATTTGTTTCCATGGAAACTGCAGTCTTTGTTAAAGTATGTTGAAGGACCTGTGGGTGTGTTTTGAAGCTGGCACTTTTGTAGAGAGATGCATACTGCTGGTCTTGTACTTGTTTTTAGGTGAAAATAAAGTAATCTCATTCATACAGACTTGCTTTATGATTCTCTTGTGAGTTTTTTTGAATGACTGTTTGACCAAGGCTTCAATAAGATTACATTAACATTTGCTGGAGATAAAATTGTTTGTGTATGCTAAACGTATGCAGCAACAAACCAGTTTCTTAAAGCGTGAAGGAAAGCAGATTCTGTAGTGAGAAGATGTCAGAGAAAAGCAGAAGTTGATAAACAGACATCTGTTATTTATGTAAGGGAGGCTGTTGGCAGAGGCGGGGTTTGGAGGGCTTCTTCTGTTAGAGCCAGTGTTGTGGGAGGACTAGTGTAGTACAGGAACATATCTATAACTCAGCCGAACATTGTGAGTACTATTATTTTTCTATAAGACATTTCACTGTTTTATTTGTGCATTTGTCTTCTTTCTTTTTTTTACTTTATATCTCATAAGTGCAACTTTATTTCTTGTAATTGTCACTTTATTTTCTATAATTGCGACTTCATATCTCACAGGTATGGCTTTTTACAACACAATGTGACTTTGTATTTCCAAATTATGACTTTATTTCTCACAATGTTTACTTTATTCCTTGTTTTGAACTTTATTTATTGTAATTGAAACAATTTCCCATAATTGTGACACAATGTGACTTTCTTATTTTTTGTTTTATCTCACAATTACATTTTTTATTTTTTATTCAAAGACAGAAACAGTCTTTTACAGGATTGTGCTGTGGTAAACAAAACAGAAGAGTTCTGTGGTCATAAGCAGGGGTGCGTGAAACATACGCTATCATTCAAAATTTTGGGGTCGGTAAGATTTTAATGTTTTTGAAAGAAGTATCTTATGCTCACCAAGGCTGCATTTATCAAAAATACAGTAAAAATATTGCAAAACATTATTATACTTTAAAATATCTGTTTTAAATTGTAATATATATCCTAAAATTTTCAAATGTCATTTATTTCTCTGATGGCAAAAAGCTGGCTTTTCTCCATTACTCCAGTCGTCAGTTTCACATAATCCTTCAGAAATCATTGGATACAATTGGATTCAATCAGGATACAATTGTTATTATCAGTGTTTCCTCCAATAAAGTAATACTCATATAGAGTTCATATTAGAGTAATTTCTTTCCAGAGGAATATGTCAGCAGTAATAAAGAAATCAGTTTAGGAGAGAAAGGGCTCAGTGTCTAGTGAACAGTGAGCTGAGGGTGCTTATTGTACAGTAAAGCTTTATCATGACCCCATTCATGGTTTTAAGAGGTGGTTCAATGTTCAATGTGCTTTGTTTAGTGTGTGTGTGGCATTCAGGAATCCCACATTCCTGTTGTGCATTTCTGGAAACTAAGATAGCACAGTGCCCACACTGTAGCCAACAAAGCACTTTTCTTGCTCTGTGTGATTGTGTATGTGGGTCAGTGTAGTAGTATTTATAGAGAAACACTTGAGTATCAATATTTCAAACAGTACAAGGATTTTTGACATTATGCTTTCTTTTTTTATCTCAGGTAAGGCTGAGGATCCCGGAGTGGTAGGAATGGAATTACCTGTTGCTCGCAACATCAAGATCAGTAACATCACATGTGACTCCTTTAAGATCTGCTGGGAAATGGACCCTCATACCACAGAGAAGATCACACATTACTTCATTGATCTTAACAAGAAGGAGAACAAGAACTCCAACAAATTCAAACACAAGGTACTCAATGATTCAGTTCACAACACAAATTATTTAGTGCTTTTTGTAAAAAAATTAATATTGCTAAGTACAATTTTAGTTTTCAGAATGACACTACAAATATTCGGTACATTTTTTCATGTGACATTTCTCAACAGTTTCTACCTAGTCTGAGTATTGCCTGGGGTTTCAAAGTTTGTAAAAGTTTATAATACAAATGGGCTTTTTTTTTTGTGCTTTTTTATGAGAGTTTTAGCTAAATTTCATTCTGTTCTTCATAGTCATAATAAAAAAAGATTCAATTGATTAAATGTCATTAATTAGTAAATTCATTCCTTGATGACTCTCTGTCTTTAGGATGTGCCTACTAAGCTTGTTGCTAAGGCAGTCACGTTGCCCATGACAGTGCGAGGCCATTGGTTCCTGAGTCCACGGACAGAATACACAGTTGCCGTGCAAATAGCATCCAAACAGACGGATGGAGACTACGCTGTATCAGAATGGAGTGACATTGTTGAATTTTGTACAGCAGGTAAATCACCCAAACACACACATACATATAAAAAAGAATGCAAGACAAGACTGTACAGACTGTTTGATATACAAAGGTAATTAAAAGTGCTGTGAATTGGCATTAGAAAAAGAGAGAGAGAAAAAAAATTAAAATAAATAAAAAGTGAGAAAAATACAAATATGTGAAATCACTTAAGAATATAAAAATGAATGAAAGAAATTTTTTTTTTAAATGCCTAAATAACTTAAAATAGGAGAATAAAGATGATAAAATGTTGTGATACTGATCAGCTTTTTATGTGGTTAGCAAGACTAATGAAAATTGATGACAAATACAAATATTTCCTTCAATTTTCTAGATTATTCCTCAGTGCATTTGACGCAGCTGTTGCAGAAGGCTGAAGTCATTGCTGGCAGGATGCTCAAGTTCTCCGTCTTTTACCGAAATCAGCATGAGGAATACTTCCAACACTGCAGGTGATTTAAAAAAAAACTCAGTAAAAAATGCTAAGGATATGAGAGAAGGGAAAGAGATAGTAATCCTGGTTGAGGAAGATAATGATAATCTTTCTTTACTGCTGAGATTCAGTTTGGCATTAGGAAGCAAACAGCTCCCTCTTGTGGAATAATTTCCTCATTAATAAGCCGGGTTTACTTTCTGCTTTTTGTGAACTGCATTTATATTTTCACTTACATTTATGTTCAAAAGTTTGGGGTCAGTATGATAAAAAAAAAAAAGAAATTCATACTTTTATTATGTAGAGATTCTTTAATCTGATTACAAATGACAGTAAATATACATTTATAATATTCCAAAATATTTCTATTTCAAATAAATGCTTTTCTTTTGAACTTTTTATTCATGCTGAAAAAATGTGTCACTGTAAAAGAACTTATCATGGCAAAAATGTAAAGCAGCACAACTGTTTTCATCATTGATAGACACCAAATCAATAAATTATATTATAAAATATATTAAAATAGAAAACAGTTGTTTTAATTTGTAGTAATATTTCACAATAATACTGTTTTTGCTGTATTTTTTAAACAAATAAATGTTGCTTTAGTGAGCATAAGCGACTTCTTTTAAAAAAATCTAACTGACCCCAAATGTTTGAACAGTAGAGTAATGATATAAAGACATGTGAATAAGGAATTTTAGAAATGTATTTTTTTCTCTCACAGAGATGTTCTTGGCAGTCGAATGATGCCCTCGGTAAAGGATAACAGCGGTAGTCATGGTTCACCTCTCAGCGGTAAACTGGAGGGGATCTTCCTCAGCTGCAACACTGAGTTTAACACAGGTCAGCCACCACAGGATTCCCCATACGGCCGCTTCCGCTTCCAGATACCCGCCGAGGTTCTGTTCACCCCTGACACGCGCCTCTACTTTGGGGACTTCTACTGCATGTACACTGCCTATCATTATGTTATCCTCGTCCTGGCTCCCCGGGGCTCGCGTGGAGACCTTTACTGCAGAGATCGCCTGCCAGAGCTGGATGTGACGAACAACCGCTTTCTCACACGTGTGTGCGGGGAGGATGGGCGGGTGGTGTTTCAGCATGCGCAGGATGTGATTCTGGAGCTGATTTATACTGAGCCGGTGCAGCTGGCACAGGGGACTGTCTCTCAGATCAGCGGCCACCAGTTGATGAGCTTCTCAACTGTCAATGCTAAGAAAGACCCCAGCTGCAAGACCTGCAACATCAGCGTTGGGCGCTAACTTGGGGCGAACATTCACACACAGGCCCAATTGTACATATAACAAGAAGACCTCCTGAACAAACAACCTTAAAATGCTACGTTACAGAACCAGATACAAATTAACCCCAAGATAATAGAATCCTCCAGATATGCGCATGTGGCACTCAGACCCTTTTAGGGGCCACCCAACCCCCCAGCTAATGCTAGAAAATTATATCTTTGCTCAATGAACTAAGAAGTGTTAAAAAAAAAGTGCAACAGAAAAAATAGAAGAGTAAAGCAAAAAACAGATTCAAGGCAAAAAAAAAAGGATAACATATCAGGATTTGAATATAAAAAAACTGAAAAATGTGAAAACAGAGACAAAGAGTAAAAGCTAAATTTCCATAAAATTTCCAAAAAATAATAATAATCCCACTGTGAATCTTTCATGTGTTCTTGGTGCTTTTTCTGCTTGATATTCAGACCCCAGCCCTGTTTATCCCCAAACCATTTGTGACTTTTTATAACACAGTGACTCTCAGACAAGGATGTCTTGCTCAGTTACCGCTGTGGCAAACTGCCCGTGTCTCTTATGTTGCACTTGTACTGCATGAAGTCTGATCCTTTAAGCATATACATGCCACCTCAGCCTTTAAATCTTCTATATGGGGATTCATTACTCCTGTGGTCTACGTGCCCGCCGAGCCTCTAATCACCCTTGACATGCGCCTCTGAGGTCTTCTACTGCATGTATACTGCCTATCATTACATTATGAAGTGAAGTAACATGTGGCCAAGTATGCTTACCCGTACTCGGAATTAGTGCTCTGCATTTAACCCATCCTAAGTGCACACACACAGCAGTGAACACACACACTGTGAACACACACCCAGAGCAGTGGGCAGCCACCGGGGAGCAGTTGGGGGTTCGGTGCCTTGCTCAAGGGCACCTCAGTTGTGGTATTGAAGGTGGAAGAGAGTGCTGTACATTCACTCCCCCCACCTACAATACCTGCCGGATCCGAGACTCGAACTTGCAACCTTTGGGTTACGAGTCCGACTCTCTAACCATTAGGCCACGACTTCCCCCCACATTATACAGATGGATGTGACATCTGCTTTAAGAGTTTTACGCCAACTGATCCTTAAAGCACCTACATGCCACCTCAGTCTTGAAACCTTCTCCTTTAACCTCAGTCTTTTCATTTTCTACTGATCGCAGTTCTCCTTTAACCTTTCTTACTCATTAAACATTGTTATATTGATGTTCTTGTTTCATTGTTCTTGTTTTTATGTGTTGCAGTATTAATGGTGTGTGATGATTCCTGATAGAATGTCAAACAGTAAGTAGAACTGATTTGTGTATAACATATCCATTGCAGGACACAGCTATGTCCAGGTTCTTGAGGAGTTTGCACTGTCCTATCAGAGGCCTGATGGTGTCACTTTCTTGCACCCTCTGGTGGTAAAAAAAAGTTCAATTTCAGAGATGCATGTCTAAGATTTTGTGCTGTACTGTATCTTAACTTGTTACTTGTTCCTTAAGCTCCAAAAATAGAAACCAATGGCAGCAGACATAAAATTTTTTGAAAACTCTTAGCTGCCAGTGTCTTAAAACCTGTGGTCAACATTTAGCTTTTGCTCAGAATAAAATATTAAGATATTACCTTTTTTTCACTATAATAAATTCTACACTTTATGTACTCATTAAATTTCAAACATTTGGGATCTGTAGGTTTTTGTGTGTGTGTGTTTAAAGAAGTACAATATACAATATAATACTGTAATACTGTAATAGCATTAATATTGCGAAACATTATTACAATTAAAAAAATAATAAAATAAATATATTTTAAATTTAATTTATTCCTGTGATGGCAAAGCTGAATTTTCAGCAGCCATTACTACAGTCTTCAGTGCCACATGATCAGGAATCATTCTAATATGCTGATTTGGTTCATTTTTTATGATTATTTGGTGAATACAAAGAACAGCATTTATTTGAAATAGAAATCTTTTTTAACATTATAAATGTCTTTACTGTCACTATTGAACAATTTAAAGGGATAGTTTACCCAAAAATGAAAATTTGATGTTTATCTGCTTACCCCCAGGGCATCCAAGATGTAGGTGACTTTGTTTCTTCAGTAGAACACAAACGAAGATTTTCAACTCAAACCATTGCAGTCTGTTGACACTCACTCACACCATTGACACTCTATCTACAATCTCTCAAAGCCGTGATTCCCATTCACCTCCATTATATGACTGACAGACCGCAACTGTTTGAGTTAAAAATCTTCGTTTGTGTTCTACTGAAGAAATAAAGTCACCTACATCTTGGATGCCCTGGGGGTAAGCAGATAAACATCACATTTTCATTTTTGGGTGAACTATCCCTTTAATGCATCCTTGCTGAATAAAATAATTAATTTATTTAAAAAATCTTACTGACCCCAAATCTTTTAATGGTAGTGGAAAAAAATAAACCCCAGTGAGTGTGTTTTGTGTTTTCTGGGAGTTCTGATTGTATATGGGTGTGTGTGTGATTGTGTTTGTCTGAATGTTTTGTCTGTATATATACTGTATAAGTGTGTGAACTGTTTAGACATGAGTGTGGTGTGTGTGGTGTCAGCTGGAGACTGTTGAAAACATGACTGTTTGACTGATAAAGCAGCACCTGTTTGCTTAGTTCAAAATGTTGTATCTCTGTGCACTTCATTAGTGAAGAAAGGATGAAAAAGGAACGAAAAACGTGTTAATTGACTCCACAAATTCATGACTTTTATTGCCTTACTCTAATCTTTCTCTGTAGAAAATGTTAGTTCAAATTTGGACTCATGCACAGGACAGTAACCCAAATCAAGTTCTCACTGTGTGAATGTGCCTCAAGACTGACAGACATGATCAGTAAATATTGTTTTTCTTGTTGCCATGTTTATGAATACCAAATGTGACTGTTCATTAAAGATCATTCAGAATGAGACTGTGTGCGTTTAGTGAGCCGGTTTTTGGGAAGTCTTTCTACAAAAATGACCTTTCTCATGCACATGCCGACAAGACAAGTTCTGCTTTTAGGAAAGTGGATGAGAGGAGCAGAAACTTGATAGGATGAACTTGATCATTATTATTAAAATAAAGATAAACCTTTGGCTTGCTGTCTGAGGAGAGAAGTTATTATTATTCAAATAAAAACATTCTAAATTATATTATTATGTTTTAATATAATAAATACATTTACACTGAGATCAGTGACCTCCTCCATCACGCACACACACACACACACACTGCTGTACTGATTAATGCTGTTTAGTTGCTTTGACACAATCTGTATTGTTAAAAGCGCTATATAAATAAAGGTGACTTGACTTGACACACACACACACACACACACATCTTGCTACTGTGTTATTGTCTGGTGACAAATCTCGTGACTGACTGATGCAACTATCAAACTTATTTCGAGAGAGCCTGCCGCTTTGTAACCTACACGCTAATGTAGTGTATATATATATATTATAATTAAATATATTGTCATATGAAGTAAAAACATATATGAAACTTATTAAAAAATTGTAACAATTCAGTATATTACCATATAGCCCATATTTATGTATGTGTAATACATTTTTGGATATATCCATGTATTTAAAAATATATCCCAAAAACATAAACATACAGAATTTTTGTGCATATGATGTTTTTATAAAGTTGCATATATAAATAAAATCGATATTGTTGACATATTACTTTAATAACATATATAAAACCATCATATAGATATTATTAACACATGTACATATACGATTTGTACTATGGGGATTTTATATATCTTCATCTACCCAGAAAATGCACGTATGTGAAAATTATATATCGCCTTATAGGTCATATATAACAATATTACTCTTTAGTCTTTATACAGGCAATACATCATTTATTACATTACCGTAAGGCAGTGGTCACCAACCTTTTTAGGCTCAAGATCCCTGACCTCGGCCTTTATGAAAGACAAGATCTACCTATTGAAGAATTGATAGAAAAGACATCCCAGATTGTACTTCAAATTTGAGGCCTTTTACTTAGTATTTTAATTAGTGATGCGCCAATCATAGCTGATTCAGAATTCAGATTTTCTTTTCTTTCTTTCTTTTTTTTTTTCAACTAGCAAATTGGATTCTGATACTGATTTTTAAGCAAATTTATTTATTGGCTATTTGCTTTATAACAAACAAACTGGCTTTAAACAAAAATATCTAGCCATTTGAAATTAGAGGCAACCACTGCATTTTAATCACGATCTGCACGGGCAGTTGTTTTTGATTTGATTTAGATTAATTTCAGGATTTAAAACAAAAACAGAATGGTCTGACTTTAGGTGTTATTTATTTATTTGCTACATAAAACATCTGCACGAAACAAAAACAGCAGGTCTGAATGAGACGCACTCTCTGACAGCAGGTAGCGCCTATGAACAGGGTTGCCAGGTTTTCACAATAAAACTAGTCCAATCG